CGTGCCGCGCGCGGGCGGGCTCGGGGAGGGGGGCGGCGCGGTGAGTGGCGCCTCCGCGACTCTTCTCGCCCGGCTCCTCGGCGGGACCGCCCGGCCAGGGAGCCCGAGCCGCGCTCTGCGCAGCCCTCACCCGCCCGCTCCGCAGGTTCCCGTGCGTCGTCGGGCGGCGATGGAGCCCGGGCCCGCGGCGCCCTCGTCTGGTGCTTCGCGGCCCGCCCGGGATGGGGACGCGCCGCCGGCGGCCGCCAGGGTGGACCTGCCCGGCACGGCCGTGCCCTCCGGTCGGGAGGATGCTACGGCTGGGAGCCAGGCTGGCGGGGTGCGCGGCGGAGAGGGAGCCGCGGCGGCGGGCGATGGACTGGGCAGACCTCTGGGGCCCACCCCCAGCCAGAGCCGCTTCCAGGTGGACCTGGTTTCCGAGAACGCCGGGCGGGCCGCGGCGGCGGCGGCGGCGGCGGCTGCTGCTGCGGCGGCGGCTAAGGAGACCCCGGCGGCCGGGAAAGCCGGCGGCGAGAGCGGCGTGGCCAAGGGCAGCGAGGAAGCCAAGGGTCGTTTCCGCGTGAACTTCGTGGACCCGGCTGCCTCCTCGTCGGCGGATGACAGCCTGTCGGATGCGCCGGGGGTCGGTGGTGACGGGCCCAACGTGAGCTTCCAGAACGGCGGGGACACGGTGCTGAGCGAGGGCAGCAGCTTGCACTCGGGCGGCGGCAGCGGACACCACCAGCAGTACTACTATGACACCCACACCAACACCTACTACCTGCGCACCTTCGGCCACAACACCATGGACGCGGTGCCCAGAATCGACCACTACCGGCACACGGCCGCGCAGCTGGGCGAGAAGCTGCTCCGGCCCAGCCTGGCAGAGCTCCACGATGAGCTGGAAAAGGTGAGCTCGCCCAGACCTTCCTCCCTCCCCGTGCCCCGGTGCTTGCTGGCCTCAGGATGCAGCCGCTGACTCTCCCTGATGAGGTGGCAGCACAGGACCTGAGGAAAGACTCGCTGGCATCCCTGGATTCAGCTGTCAAGTGTGGAATTGCAGCGGAATGTAACTTAATCCTGCAAAAGTTTGCAGCGGGTTAGGCCGGTTACGCGATACGGCAGAGGCAGCACTTAGAGGCCTTTCCCGTGCAGTTATATATCTTGTGTACACTGTCTTTTTGTCCAGTCTTGTTGTGCCACATGTGTTTAGGCCCCAGAGAAGGCAGTGTGGAGGAGGGTTAGAAGAGGCTCTCTTGGGACAGGGTGGAGAGAACGTGCTACCATCTGGGTCCTTTTTAGAATGTAGTGTATGGTTTATGTATATCCATTAGGGATCCTGAGTGGAAAGGCTGGTGTTTGAAGGAAAAACCTTAATAGCATGTCTTTTGTAGTTTATTAATTATTAAAGCTCTGGTTTTGCAGTCTTGAATATACAGAGGGCTATAGAAATCTTTTTTCTTTTCCTTTCTTCCTTCCTTTTCTGTCTTTCTTTCTTTGTTTCTTTCTTTTGGATCTCCCCCTTTCCCCATCATCTCTCTCATCTCTCTATGTAGCCCCATCTGTCCTAGATCTTGCTATGTAAGGCTGGGAACTAACAGATTCACCTGCTTCTGCTTCTCAGCGCTGGCATTAAAGGCATGTGCCACCCATCTTGGGAAAAGTTGTACCTGGTAATAGTGTGGTCCTTTTGTTTTTGTTTGCTTGTTTGTAAACTTTTTGCAAAGAGGGCTGTTTCTGGGCTGGTGTGGGAGGGTGGTTATAGAAAGATGTCTCAGTTCAGAGCACTTGTTGCTCTTGCAGGAAATCAGGAGGGTTCTCTTCCCAGCGCTCACAGTTAAAGATGGAGTGTTCACAACCATCTTTAACTTCACTTCCAGGGAGGTTTGATGCCTTCTGACCTTGACAGGCACCAAGCATGCATATGGTGTACATCCATGAACGCAAGCAAAACATTTATACACATAAATCTTGAGGGCTATATTAAAAAAAAAAAAAAAAAAAAGACTGAGAGGGGTGAGTCTTTAGAGAAAAGAGGAAACACCGGGATTTTATTTTTTCCTCTCAAGAATGTCCATAGAAATAGTCTGGGGTCTTTGCAGAAGCCCATTTACTTTGTAAACAGAAAACCATTCTCAATACACTCTTACTAACTTTACTAATTCTGTTGTTTTTTTTTATGGCCTCATAAAGCTTTTGTTTCCTTGGGGTTCAGATAATTATTTGAAGATAACATTGATGCTTTTGAGACCTGATTAATATTTAACTTTTATGAGCGGAATTACTTACCATCTGCCTCAGCAAGTCTGTAATGGAATTTTGTGACTTCAGAGTTGGTACCAGAAAGGTGGAAATGATCAAGGTGAAGACGGTTATGTGATTTGTTTGGACAGTGATGGTTTGATCTCATACATTCATGTCTTACAAGACTACACATGTCCCCATGCTTGATAAAGTAACAGTCACAATATGAAATACATGCATAACCCTTACAAGCGTATAGATTGTTTAAAAGATTGACATTATTTAGCTGTAGATAATACTACTTCTGTTTCATTGTTGAATTTTGTCATATCAGAAGCTAACCACTTTCTGAATCACTTCTTTCATTCATATGTAGTTTTTCGTACCCATCCTTTTCCTTTTTTATTCTAAATCTTTATAGGCTGAAATAGAAATGAAGTTGGTGATATTTTATTGGAGCATTTTAGTATTCAAAATTCTATACAAACATATTTCAGATTTATTTCAGTAAAGCCAACATGAGCAGTAAACCTATAAATTGTAGATTTTTAGTTGAAAGGTGTCATATATCTTCTGAAAGTTTTTGCTATTTTACATTTTGTCAGTAACAGTGCACTTCAAGTCCTCTAAGGCTCTAAGTTTATTTTGTGTGTGGTTTATGATTTGGGTTTTGGTGGTTTTGTTCAGTTGAGAGCATCTGAAAGTTAAACACATTATTTGATAGTTGAAAAAGTCACCTAGTTTCTCAACCTCAGCCTTCTCAGTCCAGAATTATTTATTGTGAAAATTAAAGAAAATACGCAATGGGCCAAAAAAAAAAAATTTGGCCGTGATGACCATGCTAAGTGCGTGGAATATCATTGCTAAAGGTGGGTCCTATTTTGGTTTTTCTTACATTAGCTCCTCAGAAGTGCAAGGCTACCCTCTGAAGATATCAATTTTGGATTCAATTCATTACATCATTAAATGAATATAGTTTATAATATGCTCAATTCAGAGTTCCGGTTATGCAAGGAGTAGGGTCATGAATTCTTCACCGTTTTTTTTTTTTTTTTCTTTCTTTTTTTTTTCTTTTCATAGCCTATGCTAGATGGGTGCTTATTCCACTGATGTGGACCCTCAGCCTCTACTCCGAAGTATCTGTATAGGAACCAGAAGTTGTTGATGGTGTTAACAAATAAGCAACTATTAAAGATGACCATAGCAAATGGGTTAAATACCTGTCATGTTAAATTGGGCAAAAAATGCTGCTTAGCGTTGTAGAAGGAGTGAGCTCCATAAGTTTTTGCTCGTCCGTACAGACTGACAAAAACTTTTCCAATGTTCTTAGCCCTTAGTGAATACGACATTTAGAATTTCTTTGATTGTCGTGTACTGTACTCTGGTGGCTGAGTACTTTAATGTCCATGAACTAAGTAACAGGTGCTAAGAACTGTGGAGAGTTAGAGGAAGTAAAAGGTAAATGCTCTATAGATTTGCTCGGAAAAGGGACTAGTGTTGTCTTTTTGTCGACGACCTTTTAAAAGTGTTTTCCCTAATACCCTACTGTAGGGGATAATATCCTTAGTGTGTTACGCAGCTCTTCTAGGAAGAGGCTGGTGGCTTTCCAGTTAGAAACTGTTGACTGGGGAAGGGGTGACTGTGTTGTCCAGTGCTCTGGAACTGTGGTATGATGTATGACACTGAGGAAGTAGCAAGTCATGCTTTGTCTGCCTGCACAGACATAGAACAAATAATAGTTATTAGCATAATAAATAATAGTCATTTCTTCAATGCAGTCAAAAGAAACATCACCAGTCAGGAAATAATGCAACCTAATTTTACCTGGGCTTTGGGAAGAAATAAGAGTGGCATTGAGGCTGAGGCCTGATGATAAAAATTGATGGATGAAATGACATTTTGGAACAAAGACTGTATTTATAAAAGTGGTGAGGAGAGAAGTGCTATGTTCAAAGGCCAGAATATTTTACTGTAATGTAGTGGGAAGCTGTTGGGGGATTCAGTGTGGCAGAACATGCTCCATTTTATTTGAACATCTTTGCTAGCCAGAGAATGGGTTCTGAGGTGTGGCTGGAAATGAAATCTTAAACTGTTGGTCTGACTGAGAGATTATAAGGATTTGTGAGAGAGGCTGACTCCAGGTTTTGGACTTGAGTAACTGAATATTGGAGTTATGTTACCTGAAGGACGATTGAAAGGGGAATGGATGTGGAGTGCTGAAGAGAATTCTAGTTGTAAGACACCTCAGAGTCCTGAAGTGTCAGAAAGTGTGTGTGTGTGTGTGTGTGTGTGTGTGTGTGTGTGTGTATGTATGTGAAGAAAGTACCTTAAATATGAGTAGAAGATTGGGTTGGTAAAGGAACAGAAAGCATGGTCCAGGATGGTGCCTGGAGATCATTTAAAGTTGTGTTGGGTACTTCTACTAGCCTAGAAAGCAGTATCCTAGAAGAGGAGACAGAAGAGTTTTAAAGAAGGCAGACCCTACACAGAGTATGGTGGCACATGCCTGCAGTCCTGGGAGGCTGAGGCAGGAGCACCTTTTTGGTACAAGGCCAGCCATGGCTATTTAGATGGTGCCAGGCCAGACTGAGATATATAGTGAAACTTTATCCCAAAAAGGTAGAGACTCTTTAAACAATTGATGCTACGATTGATTTTTTAAAAAGAAATTGTTGTGTTTCCTCCCATACCCCCAGTATCAAAGTAACAGTTTCTCCTATAGGAAGAAATAGAAAGTAGAGAGTACCAAAAAAGTATCAATGGGCAGCTTTAACAGGTGTGATAATTTCCAAACACCGGGTTAGGTAAACTGTCTGCTGCTGCAGGAGTTAAAGCATCATCATCAACATGATCATCATCATCAACAACGTCATCATTATCATCAGTCACTGTGTTTTGTAACTACAGTGGGAAGCACTGTGCTGAAACATTTTATAGTTTGCAGGTGTGTGTCAGCCTCAGAAGACTTTCACGTTGGCTGACCTAGGGTTAGGCTCACAGATGAGGTTATAGGCTGGCTGGCCACTGAGCCCCTGCTCTGGGATTATAAGCATGGGCTAGCACACCGAGCCTTTCCACTTTACTAAGTCATTTCTTTACCCCACCTCTCCTCTTTCAAATATAGTATCACCATTGCAGTTGTTCTTAGACCACGGCTTAGAATCCTTTTGATGATGGTATCAAATCATTGGATGTGGTCTTTCTCTTTTCTCTTTAATAAGAGTGGAAGGGAATACAGGAGGCAACAGTATTGTATCATTGCTTTTTAAAAATTTAATTCCTAAGAAATCAGTTTTTTGCACACTTCACTGGTAATAAAATGATCTCATAGAAACTGAAAATGGCTTACTAGCCATTTTCTCTTTCTTTTCTCCTCTCCTCTCCTCTCCTCTCCTCTGCTCTCCTCTCCTCTCCTCTCCTCTCCTCTTCTCTTCTTTTCTTTTTGATTTTTTGAGTCGGGATTTCTCTGTGTAGCCTTGGCTGTCTTCCACTCACTTTGTAGACCAGGCTGGCATTGAACTCACACTGATCTGCCTGCCGCTGCCTCCCCGAGTGTTGGGTGCACCACCACAGCTAGCTTACTAACCATTTTCTTTGAAAACTATAGAACTAGACTTCGTACTTGTTTTTCTTTGTGATGCTAGAATATTGTTTTCAGGGTCTTCC